ACACACACACACACACCCCTAAAGGGGGAAAAAAACACACACACACACACACACACACATACATACAGCCGCACGGACACCATCGCGGGAATAGTCAGGGAAGCTTCCTAGGACCTCAAAACGTCGAGATCTGATGAAAACTCGATTTTCGAAAAACAGGGTAAAAACAATAACTTCCCGATTTTTGAAAATTTTCAATTTTCTTAGCGGGAAGTTAAAAATTAGGAAAACGTTTGACCTTGAAGGCGATCTGTGCAACTCCCCGCTAATTCCATACCTAAGCGCTTAAAATTAACTTATGATATTTGCGAACTCTTCGAGCTCAAAATTACAATGAGCATTATTTTGAGCTCTCTGAGCTCAAAGAGTTAGCTGTTTTATGCTTTTGAGCTCAAAAGCCTAATGGAAATTTAATAAAACACGATTCTTTAAATTTTCAAACTGCAATTACTTTTGAATGAACAAGCCGATTTTCACGTGGATGGCAGCATTTGACGCAGTTTCTCGATTCCTATGTTTTTCTTTCAAACACAAATTAATAAAACCGAAAATTTTGGAAAAATTTGAAAAATTCACTTTTTTCGAATTTGTTTGACAACGATAACTCACGAACCAATCAACCGATTTCGACGGATAATATTGACTTGGTTTTTTGAACTCGCATAGTTATATTATTACATCAAAATTTAAACGATTCAAAAAGAAATTTCGGAGTTACGTTAAAAAAACCCTTGTTCCCAAATTTTGCACGCCTCATAGCGCGAAGCGCGTGAGGTTGTGCTTTATACCCGACTCGTCAAGGTCAAGTTTGTGATCTTTAAATGCCTCTATCACATCCATATTACACTTATACAATAATATAAGTAAGCAACTAAGTGGCCGAGCGGTTTAAGTCTTAAACTGCCCGTACAACAGTCGGTCAGGCGTGGGTTCGAGCCCTGGCAATCGCAATTTTTCTGCGATTTCCAAGGCTTGCTCCCGTGCTGACTGTACCCTGACCAGGTTTCTGTGGTTTCCTTGGTCACTGTGCTAAGGGTGGGGCACAGGTGAATGCGGGTACAGGTTGTAAGTCGGCCACATCCGCAGATAAAATAGACTATTAGTATTGATAAATAGTAAAGCTTAATAAAATTTTTATAGAATATATATTCTCACACAATTAATATAAAAAAAAAAAAATAACATAAGTAGATGTACACCGAAAAAACACTTAAATTAAACCATCTTTTACTTTCTAAAATCATTTCATGCTGCTATTTTAAAAAAAAAAAAACGTTTTGAAAAAAATTTTACGTGGACGTCATTTTACGTGAACGATTACTCCCGAACAAATTAATATTTCAAGACCGGACCTTTTTTATTGATTTAAGAATTTGATGAACTGGGTTCATATCAGTGGCCTAGTTTACGTGTTTTTTTTTTTTTAATTGAATTTTTATTAAAATTCACTACGATAAAACCGTACAAAGCCGAACGAACTTTTCTTATTTGTCACGTAAAAACTATAGCGCCACTTGATCAAGCTAGATTTTATTAGACTGCGTGCGCATATGACAACAAAAAAGAGCGCCGATATTAAAAAAGAAAAATAAACATTACTCTGTAAGAAATTTCTTAATTGTAATTTTTAACTTCCCGCTAAGAAAATTGAAAATTTTCAACAATCGGGAAGTTATTGGTTTTACCCCGTTTTGCCAAAATCGGGTTTTTTTCAGATCTCGACGTTTGAAGGTCACAGGAAGCTTCCCTGACTGTTCCTGCGATGGTGCCCGTGCGGCTGTATGTATGTGTGTGTGTATGTGTGTGTGTGTGTGTGTGTGTGTGTTTTTTCTTTTTTTTTTTTTTTTTTTTTTTTTTTTCTTTTTTTTTTTTTTTTTCCTTTTTTTTTTACTGGGAGGGGGGGAAATCCTTTTTACGGATTCTAGGCATAGATGTTGGCCCGGATATGTGGCGACTCGACGCAGCGTCATACTAAAACTTGACGCTGACGCCCCTACCCACT